AATTGCTATTTTGAACTGTCCTAGACTATGATAAGCGCAGCAGAGATTGGCATAACTTTCTCCCTCTCCGGCCTTGTCTCCTAGTTCTTTAGCAATTTCTAGATGGCGTCGATGGTATCTGATTGCTGTTTTAAACTGACCTAGACTACAATAAGAGCAGCCGAGATTGCGATAACATTTTCCCTCTCCGGCCTTGTCTCCCAGTTCTTTAGCAATTTCTAGATCACGTTGATGGTACCAATTGCTGTTTTGAACTGTCCTAGACTATGATAAGCGCAGCCGAGATTGGCATAACTTTCTCCCTCTCCGGCCTTGTCTCTCACTTCTTTCGCAATTTCTAGATGGCGTTGATGGTACCCGATTGCTGTTTTGAACTGTCCTAGTCTATCATAAGCGCAGCCGAGATTGCCATAGCTTATTGCCTCCCTGGCTTTTAGTTCAGCATTGGTTTTGCTACGTACATATAGCAGAGTCCTGTTATTCTCATCAACCTTAAAGCGAGTTAAGGATAATAGCTGATAAGAAGATTTGTGAACATTTAGAGGAAGTGCGCTTTTTTAGAAATAGCGGAATATTAGGTAGAACTGTAGAAAATGGAGTTACTATCTTAATAAAACTCTAAGCGAGCTCTCCTAGTGCAATTGTTCCTTTAGTTTTAGACGTCATGATAATTTACTTCTAGACATACCAACGAGGGACCTTTGTGTGTTACGTTTGAAATATTCATTAATGCAAAGGATACGGCCAATCCTGTGTGCAACCAGCTCCTTGCTTCTTTATACAAGCAAAGCTTGACACTAGCGTTGGCTCCTGAAAAGAAGGGAACAATGGGTAGCTAGAGGTATTTCATTACCGTCAACATCCAAATATAATTGCCCTTCATCTGAGCTTTCTGACGAAGGGTTAACGTTAGGCACGTCTTTATGGTGGCCAGTTTACATTTATCAATTCAGTTGATACAACCAAATTATCCTGTGGCATCAATATAGGTTCAATTGCAAACTTGTTAACCCTAACTTGCAATACAGCAAACACCTGGGGTGAAGTCAACTGACGTTATACACACAGTTCCCATTGGACGAAATCGCTGAAAGGGTTTTGATGACCTATGGTTGAAAAACCCACCTTTCTTCATAGCTTTCATTAAATTGGGTTCCAACTGAACAGAAACTGTTGCATCACTGAGACATTCCTCGTAGTTTCCTATGACATTCAGGAATTAAGTGTAAGTGGTCGTTACACGTCAATTGCAATTTACATGTAACATCCGTTTATTTGTCTGTCCCAGGATTGTCCTTGAAACCAGGCGACAATCATTTTACTCGGTAAATTTAAGAGGAAATGCAGTTTTCGGTTTTACCCTCCTTTCTATCACTCGAAAATCTACAAACGACACTGAAGGAATGGAGCCTACACACAGTTGGTTTCTGCTTCTTGCCCTATTGACATTTTAAAACTGGCAATTAACTGAATTTGATGACAACTCAACTCACAAAGTTCATCTTAGACGATTCTACACACGTTACATGTTTGATGAGAGGAATATTGATCAAAGAAGCACCTCTACCCGTTTTTTGTATCATTTTGGTCCCATGCAGGATTTTGTTTTTTACACTGAGTAAGCCAACGCATACCCAAGCTTTTATTTTGTGATTTTCCCATTTTTTTAAATATTTCAGTGAGTGAATGAGATATTGAGGAAGAAGTCTTTAAAGGACGAAAAATACTTCGTGTTGTTATTTGAAAGCTTGAAGACCTGAGTTCAAGATGTGTAGTCGCCTTGGATTTGGACATTTCAGTTGTTGTA